TTCTGTGATTTCCAAGGTCATATGTTTTCAATTATCTTCTGGGCCTTGCGGTCTCTGATACCTACTAGGTTATACGTTTTCTGTTACTTCCTTCATTACACTATATTAACTCCACGTCTTCATACTTCCAGTTTTTTCATTTTATTTGTTATTATCGAATCGATTTTCCTTCGTAATTTTCAAATATTCACACACAGACACTCACTAGAACAAGTACAGTAAGTCCTTAAATAACGTCGTTTCGTTCACCATCGTTTCGTTATAACGTTGATGAGAAAAAATCGATTCCAGCCGGGGCCACTGTCTGTGTGAAGACAGTAAAATAAAAATTCGTAAAGTATACGATAATCAAGCAAATGCACGACAATAAATGATACGGTAAGAAAACGCTCAGTGAGTCTGCCATATTTGTTGTTGAACTGCATGGTAGTAGATGCTCCTTACAATTTTTGCTTGATTTTCCTTGATTTAGCCCTGTTGCAATAAGTGTTAAATGTGCAAAGTGCACCCCTGATGTCTGTGGCCACAAAAAAAGAAAAAAAAAGTGACATTAGAAGCAAAACAAAGTTTTAAAGGGGTTTAACGACGAACAGCGGCGTGATTGGCGTGATTTCCTTATACATCGTTTCGCTTAGTCGCAGGCTTCCAAGAACCTGTCGACGACGTTTAGTGAGGACTTACTAGTAAACAGCCCTCAGACATTTAGATAAATTGAAGCCCAACAAGTCACCGGGCCCTGATAAGCTGTTTTCTAGGGTTCTAAGAAATGTAAAGAGGAACGTAATGAATGTTTGAAAAACCGACAAGTTGAAGATTGAGACACTTATGCAGCATATGGGAATCTTTATTCAGGAAACGTTTCGCCACACAGTGGCTTCATCAGTCCAATACAAAGAGGAAGGCGTAAGGAGAGGAGGAGAATGAGGTAATCAGTCCCTCAACCTGGAGTCGATGTGTTCAGTCCATCAATCTTGTAGAATGTACAGCATAGGGCCGTAGACGTGGCTTATATACTGTAGTGAGGTGACGTGAAGCAGATGGAGGCGGGGTCATAGTGGTACCATCCACTAGTCGAAGTAGGTCTTCGTCCAAAGGTTGAACAAGTGTTGAAGAATTCTTTGTAACAAGACCCCATGATGCTGCCGTGTCTGACAGTTGTGATGAATGGTTTGAAAAACCGACAAGTTGAAGATTGAGACACTTATGCAGCATATGGGAATCTTTATTCAGGAAACGTTTCGCCACACAGTGGCTTCATCAGTCCAATACAAAGAGGAAGGCAGACACGGCAGCATCATGGGGTCTTGTTACAAAGAATTCTTCAACACTTGTTCAACCTTTGGACGAAGACCTACTTCGACTAGTGGATGGTACCACTATGACCCCGCCTCCATCTGCTTCACGTCACCTCACTACAGTATATAAGCCACGTCTACGGCCCTATGCTGTACATTCTACAAGATTGATGGACTGAACACATCGACTCCAGGTTGAGGGACTGATTACCTCATTCTCCTCCTCTCCTTACGCCTTCCTCTTTGTATTGGACTGATGAAGCCACTGTGTGGCGAAACGTTTCCTGAATAAAGATTCCCATATGCTGCATAAGTGTCTCAATCTTCAAAGAGGAACGTAGCAAAACATTAACTAGTCTCTTCAACAGACCCTACAAACGGGTACAGTAACGAAATAAAGGAAAAATGACAAATGTGATAACTCATCTACATAGTGCAAAGCAGAAAGGTCCAATAGCTTCAAACATACAGACCAATCAGCCTAACCTCAACTGTGGGAAAGTTGATGGAATCAATAACTACTAATTCAGTTCGAAGCCACCTTGAAGTAATAAAGTTGGTAGAATTACCGACAATATGTAAAGTAAAAGGACACAAGTGCAACTAATGTGACATTTTATTGTGGCAACGTTTCGCTCTCCAGGAGCTTTATCAAGCCATTACAAACAATACATGGACACAGAGGGTATATATAGGATCAGAGTGAGGTGCAATACTAGTGAGGTACCATTTCGATGTTCACTAGTGGTGGTAGTAGTAGTAGTAGTAGTAGTAGTGACAAAAGTAATACAATATGGTAGAGCAATTAATTCGTACATGAGAAAAAGGATATAAAAGCTATTACTTGGGTAACATAAAAATAGGTTGGACAAATATAGACTGGAAAGAGGCAGCTTGTTTCAGTGTTCACTCCTTGTATGTGCTTGTGTAGTATAACAGGAGAGACTATGTGATGGCAGGGTTTACTGTTTTCAGGAGGATTCTTGCTAAGACTTCGGAGATGGTGAAACTGCCGTTGTTTTAATTGTATTCGAAACAGCGATCAGTGCTGATTCGAGGCACTTGCGTCTACGGAAATTAGTTTCTTTGATCACTAATTGGGCGTCTCTGAATTTCATGAGATGATTGGTGGAATTGTTCAAGTTATCGTTCCTACATGCGTAAATGTGTTCATTGAGGCGGGTGTCGAGGTTTCTTGCTGTTTCACCTACGTAAATCTTGTCACAGCCTCCACACCAACACCAACACCACTCCCAACAAAGTTATAATTCTTCCCAACAGCCAGGTTGCACTGAACGTCTCAAAAGTACTTTCACAAGCTAACACCAGAGTCGCCATCGCTTCTAGCACTTCAATAAAGGATCTAACCAGGACAAAATCCAAGCATGACGAACCAGTCAATGCAGGAGTTTACACTATACCCTGTGGAGGCTGTGACAAGATTTACGTAGGTGAAACAGCAAGAAACCTCGACACCCGCCTCAATGAACACATTTACGCATGTAGGAACGATAACTTGAACAATTCCACCAATCATCTCATGAAATTCAGAGACGCCCAATTAGTGATCAAAGAAACTAATTTCCGTAGACGCAAGTGCCTCGAATCAGCACTGATCGCTGTTTCGAATACAATTAAACAAAACAACGGCAGTTTCACCATCTCCGAAGTCTTAGCAAGAATCCTCCTGAAAACAGTAAACCCTGCCATCACATAGTCTCTCCTGTTATACTACACAAGCACATACAAGGAGTGAACACTGAAACAAGCTGCCTCTTTCCAGTCTATATTTGTCCAACCTATTTTTATGTTACCCAAGTAATAGCTTTTATATCCTTTTTCTCATGTACGAATTAATTGCTCTACCATATTGTATTACTTTTGTCACTACTACTACTACTACTACTACTACTACTACCACCACTAGTGAACATCGAAATGGTACCTCACTAGTATTGCACCTCACTCTGATCATATGTCCATGTATTGTTTGTAATGGCTTGATAAAGCTCCTGGAGAGCGAAACGTTGCCACAATAAAATGTCACATTAGTTGCACTTGTGTCCTTTTACTTTACACCTTGAAGTATATAATTTGATCAATGCCTCTCAGTATGGTTTCATAAAGGGTCGTCTTGCCTTACAAATTTACTTAACTTTTTCACTAAGTGCTAGAAGCAGAAGACCAAGATAGTACGATACTGTGTATACGGTAAGGCACAGTTGTACAGAGAAAAATAATTAATAAATTAGCAGCGTATTGAACAGGAGAAATTATTTCCTGGGCCGAGGCATGGCTGACCAACCGGCAACAGAGAGTTTGCATTATTGGAGAAAAATCGTGCTATAGGGTCAGTGCTGAGACCTTTGTTGTTCACAATCTACATAAACGACACAGAGATGAGAATAAAAAGCGAAATAAGTAGTTTAAAAAGTTTGCCAATGACAGTGTAGCCTGCGTTAACATGAAATGAAAATCTAATATGGCGAGATTCTAATTACGTGGACAGGAGCGACGAACAATTGATCTGGTGCTGTATCCCCGAATCTCAGTGTAGTCCTGGTCTTTTTATAAAAGAATAAGTTGAGCAACAGCTAGGCTTATGTTTTAGTTATTTCCAGTTAAATTATACAAATCTAACTTAATTCACGTTAACATAATCTGTTCTAAGTTAATCTATCCGAAACTTACATAAAATAACTTTAATTGACCTATAGAGAAAAAAGTATATTTGTTTGTAGCAGTGGCAAGAATACGAATGGAGTGTTGCAGCTCGTATCGTTCAGTAACAAATTCTGGAATGCATTAGAAAACGATCTTGGTATTATTAGGATAGGTTACATCCTGATCATACGGTGCCTTCAATGACGCTGTATAAACAAATGACTTTAATATTATAATTATTTAATGACTTCAGCGGAATAACTTACACGTATCCTCAATGTGAAACACCCACATAGTCATGACTTAAACTGCGCTCCATGATCACACCTCAGACTAAATAACCCAGGGGATAAGTTCATGATAGATAATATTAATACAAATTGCATGACCATTTCCAAAAGATAGCATTTACCATATTATTTAATGAGCACTTAATGACTATTTCTTACCTTTTCTTATCACGTGTATCAATGGTTTAAAATTTACAATATCTATTTTACAGCTGCATGTTTCCCTCCTTATGCAAACTAGCTGCTTAGCTTCCTGGTTGCTGTTTTCCATTGTTTTATCTTCCAGTCAATTTTGTTATTTACCTCAAGGTACCTAATAGGCTAACTGTATTATCTAGTTCCTTTACAACTGTTAAGTTATCGTGTAGGCCACAGCTATATGCCTGCTTCTTCAGCCTCGTTAGCCTAATTTATACTATGTTTTATCATCGTGATCACATTGCATGTTCAAATCGTATCCAATTTAAAAAATCATAGTAATTCATTCTTCACACTTTATACATATGTGCCAAGCAGCAAGCACCATTGCACGCCAATGGTCTGAAAGAATAATTATATTTCACTTCTATGCATTAACTTTCACCATAAATACACACTTGAACTTATACGCAATGACTTGTGTACCTGATGAATTGCATGCATTGGAATGCATTTTCTGAATGAGCATAGAGTTGTTTGTGCTTGCGTGTGCATTATCTTGTGTATCTGTCCCCTCCTTGTGTGTTAACTTGCTTTGTTGTGTGTGTTGCAGGAGAGTGTGGGGAGGCCCCGCCTGACGCTCTATGATGCTGTCTTCTCGCTGACTAGACCTACACCCTTCATGCGCCACGCCTACAGTCACGGCTCAAAACACGATCCACCCAGGAGTCCAGATGAAATTCTACCCTCAGCCGGCGGACTCGCCTGATGGTGTTCACGCGTGGGTTCATGAGGACCTGCTTGAGCCCCGATACGGTGCGCACTCCACGGATACCAAAACCACCATGGACCCACTGGAGTCCTTCCTCTGTGACCTACCGCCACCAACCTCAACTTTCGCAGAACTCAAACCACTCGAACCACTGGATTATTTGACAGCATCCCCTGACACCTCTGCATCTTCCCGCCACGATACGTCGTCCACCTCTTCTAATTCACCGGGCAGTCAGTACAAGGGTGCCATCACTAACAGCAACACGTTCTTGGGATATACCGGAACCCCTGAACCAGTCACAACCACTACATCGCCACTTTCCTCCTCCCATAAGCATGACCCGCACCATCATGGCTACTCAATAACACAAGAGATCGACGACATCGCTTCCATTATAGGCAGCGCCATTGCTGATAACAACATCAACACCAGCATCAACAACATTATGCTTCCTGAATCTCTCGAGCCTCTCAATGCACCTGAGTTCCAGGATATTGAAGCATTCTTCGAGAACATGAGTGGAGGAGTTAAGGTGGAGCCTGCGGATCCTTTAATAAACTCCTCTATGTCACCTTCGGGACATTCTCCATCCATGGCGACGCAAGTGCCTCAGCCGTCCACCACCACAGTCAGCCATAGCACTATACATTATGCCAACACCCCCACCCACTCACCCATGTTGACGTCGCTACTGGCGGCGGGAGCAGTCACCAATAATAACTACCTGCAAGGCTTGGTTTCCGAGGCACAATATAAGAACGAAATATCTATGCCTATACTACAAGCGCGTCTCACACAAGGACTTAAGGATGTTGGAGTAGGACTCCTAAAAGCGGATCCGATGTTTGCACGGTCTCAATATTACTCGCATAAAGACGCAATGCCGCACACTACAGACCCCACCAGTTTTGCCGTCACTACCACAGATGATCTTTTTATAAGCAAGTTCGATTCAAGATCTTACTTAGACAAGATTCAGCTGGCCTCGCCGGAGTCCACAGACTTATCCTCCACCAAAATGGGCCTCGACTTCCCGGGGATTAAAAACAAGAACCGCAGCCGTATGAACAAGAGTACAAAACTTCCCATTACTACAGAGGGAACCAAAGACAAGCCCGTCCACCGGTGCACCGTCTGTAACCGCGGCTTCCTAAACAAGTCCAACATCAAGGTTCACCTGCGTACTCACACGGGGGAAAAGCCCTTCAAGTGCGAAACCTGCGGGAAGGCGTTCCGACAAAAAGCCCACCTGCTCAAACATTACCAAATTCACAAGCGCGTTGCCAGGGACTAACTGTTCCTACTTACTCCCTCACTCTCTCTCTTTCTCTCTCTCCCGGTTTACCATATTTATTACTTATATTCTAAATTTTTGAGATGAGTGGCACTGCAATCCTCGCTGGCCGCCCGTGGCCTCAAGTCACAAGAACGAACCCGCCACTTCAACCATCCCTTGGATGTCAAGCTGATTGTACACGTCTCTTATGATTTTTTCGCCGACAAACATAAGAAAACGCAGAAAAAACAAAACCTGGAGCTGCAGTGTTGGTGCTCAACATGAACTGTTGTGGGTATTGCTCAGCCTACCCAGAGGTGCACCTACCAACATGGACTATTGTGGGTATTGCTCAGCTTACCTAGAGGTAAACCTACCAAGTGAACTGCTGTGGGTGTTGGTCAGCCTACCTAGATGTGAACCTACCAACATGGACTGCTGTGGGTGTTGGTGCTCAGCCTTCCCAGAGGTAAACCTGCCTACTAGACTGGTATATTAAGTTAGTGACAACCTGCTTGTGCTGCCGAGGACCAGCTCACTGGGGAAGCAACGTAAGCCAGTCATACATTCACTTCACCCTTGACATTGGCAATGGACTTGAACATGTGTTGTGTATGTGAAAGAGAGGAACACACGCTTGGGCCTCAAGTGAAAGCTGGCAGGTTGTGGTGCGGGTTTAGGAGTTTGCCACCATCCTCTCATCTATAACACATTGACGGTTATTGCGTTACCTTTCACAGCATTCCCACGCATGCAATTACTATTAAAGCTCTACGCGAAAGAAATGAGATCAGAATGTGTGTGCGTATGTTGTGAGGGGGGGAGGTGGAGGGTGAGGCTGGGGGCGGAGCAGGAGAGAGCTCCAGCGACCCACTTCTCATGTGGGTCACCGCTGCCTGCCGCCCGGAAAGGAGTTGTCTCCCACCCGGACCTGGGCCCCGGACACTGGAATTTGGGCCCCCTACACTAGACTATGACTTCCCTCGTCTTAAACATTGTCCACAGACACGAAACTATGAGCTGGCTTATGTACACTGTGCATGATATGGTGTGCCCTCCATACACTTCTGACGCGGACTGAGTGACGACCGAGACTAGACATGCTATTTATATTACTACGGTGAATAGCGACGTTACATGATGAAAAGGCAAAGTCACATTTTGTGAATGTTGCCAAACTGTTTTTTATCTTCACAACACAAGACTACTGTGCCTTGAATCCCCCTGCTCACTGCGTCATGTGTACACTGGGGCAGATATCAACATGACAATTCGACAATCATTCACAATCAATAACAAAAACATGTGCAAATTCTCTGTATGCTATCTTGGTGCAAGAGGGAAGCCATCTAATAGACGGATTGGTAGTGGAGGATGTGACTAGTGGAACGGGAGCCAGTGAGGATGGGGCCCTAGTCCGCCAGTACTTGACGGATCTCGCTTCTTTGTCTCTTATTCCTGTCATACTTAATGCCTCACAACCACTAGAAGTCACTCAAACTAGCTATTATAGTGGAGGAGGTGTGGTGACAATGGTGATAGGTGCGCTAGTGATGGTAATGACACCAGAACATAGCTGCTTTGTGGCGACCTACATCTGTTGCCTGTGCTACTCCCCCGCCCCACGCCACCCGCCTCCACCAACCCAGCTTGACAACACCTGCTTCTCCATGTTAGTTGTCCACTCAATGACATGGTACAATATGGTTATTGCAATAACTCATTGGTGTCAAACACTCTACTCTTTGTTATTTTTGTATATCTTCCAAACATAGATTTGGTTATCTCTGTAAAACATGTATATAATTGTAAATTATGCTTACATTGATATCCGTACAATTTTTATGATGAACCAATAACCATGTTATACTAAGGGTCTCTAAACGAAAACTGTAATTCGACTTAATATTTTATGAGAGGATTTCAATATATACCAATAAAAAGTTCAAAGTTCAATTGGAAGACATTATACAATATCGAAATAAACATTAACCGATTCAATCTCACAGAGATGACTGTTTAGAAAAACATATGGTATCTAGTTTGAACCAACCCAAGTGAAGAAAAAGACTGTGTTAGCTTGTGCTTTATTAAACCATATCTGGTTTACCACTGAATGAACTCTCGCGTGTACTGGAAAATAAACCTTCTATATAGGTACAGGCCCTGAAGGCGTGTATTGAGTGCCCAGTATGGGGCAGTGATCCTGCTGATTGTGGTAGTAGTAACGGCTCCTACATTTGCCCTAATGGAAGTGAGTCTCATTATTGTGAATAATTTCACTCTAGTGACTACCTTCACACTCGTAAAAGACTTTACACCTCTAAGCTGGACCTCGGGAGGACGCCTCTCCACTTCTACCACAAGTGCAAACACACATTTTATTATTATTATTACTATTATTATTCTTACATTAGGCTACGTAGATGATGTTGGGGAGGCGGGCTGGTTCCCGCTGTGATGATTCCCAGCGCCCCTCTGTTGTTATTGTTGTTAGAGTCAGTACTGTAGTTATGGGGATCTTGCCATGCTCGGGACCGCTAACTTTCCTCATTTACCGTGTTTATGCAGAGGTTGGTACTGTAGACTCCTGTGAAGCTCATTGCTCTAGTGATTAGATAATGGGCGTTACACGAGGCAGAAGGCTAATGATCTGCTATCCCCCCCTCCCTCCCAGATATAGTTTTTGTGACTGGGTTATGTGTAATGGGGCTACTGATAAACATTAGGCTTCCTAGCTGATGCTGGTATTGTTTCTAGATAGTAATTACTAGGTGCAAATTTTATTAGAATAATTATTATGGTATTTGTCAGGATGTCTTGAAGATCCCGAGCATTGCCCCCGATTTTTAACTTGTACTGGTAGGTTCCACAAGGACGTAACTCCCTTGCCTCGTTCCCACCGGTTACGCCTTGGTTCATGGTAAGCTTCCGATCAGTTTGCTGAAATGCAATAATGCCATATTAAAGAAGATTACAGATCTTGTTACTCAGCTCAGTGTAGTTTATAAATGCATGGTATGTTTCATTTTTTATTGTACTGTATTGTTTTCGGAATTCAAGATGTTTTGGTGACAGGAGTAACAGGTCTGATCTTATGTTTTTTTTTTTTTTATTTTATACTTTTGGGACAGTGTCTTAATTTTTTTTGAGGACCCTGAGGAGCCACATGAACCACTGGGCTCAGGATTAGGTGTACACGGTGTCGTGTATGTACCATAGGTGTACTCGATGTCGTGTGCGTACTATATATGTGTGCAACAGCAAATTCCAAATTGTAGCCTTAACCCAATGTGCTTACCAGCTGCGTACGACGCTACTGGTGCTACCTGATGTGCTTGCCAGCTGCGTACGACGCTACTGGTGCTACCTGATGTGCTTACCAGCTGCGTACGACGCTACTGGTGCTACCTGATGTGCTTGCTAGCTGCGTACGACGCTACTGGTGCTACTTGATGTGCTTACCAGCTGCGTACGACGCTACTGGTGCTACCTGATGTGCTTGCTAGCTGCGTCCGACGCTACTGGTGCTACTTGATGTGCTTACCAGCTGCGTACGACGCTACTGGTGCTACCTGATGTGCTTACCAGCTGCGTACGGCGCTGCTGGTGCTACCTGTGCTTACCAGCTGCGTACGATGCTGCTGGTGCTACCTGATGTGCTGACTAGCTGCGTATGACGCTGCTGGTGCTAGTTGATGCGCTTACCAGCTGCGTACGACGCTACTGGTGCTACCTGATGTGTTCATCAACTGCGTACGATGCTGCTGGTGCTACCTGATGTGCTGACTAGCTGCGTACGACGTTGATGGTGATACCTGATATGTTCACCAGTTGTGTACGACGCTGCTCGTGCTACTTGAAAGTGTTCACCAGTTGCGTACGGCGTGGCGGGTGCTACCCTCAGTGCTCACCAGTTGTGTACGACGCTGTTGGTGCTACGTGATGTGCTCACCAGCTGTGTTCAACATTGCTGCAGCTATTTTATTACACTAAAGGTTGATAATTGGATTAACTGTATTTTGTTACTATATTTATTTATTTATTGACTATTTATTTCCCTCTCCTTGAATGTCTTTCTCCCTATAGGTAATTATCGATGTGTACATGTAAGTTATTGTGAAATTCACACGTAATTTATTGTGCAACTCGTCAGGGTTCAAGTATACACACAATTGTTGATGTATTTTTACAGATATTTTTGTATCTATAGCAAGTTGTGGAGTTGGTATACAGAACTATACACTTTCAGATATTTTTTGTACGAGACGATGTATCTATGCAGTAGGATGTGGTTTGATGTATATAGACACTACAGTCTCCCCCACCCCCATACACATAGAATTAAGGCTGGATTTATTTCAAGTGTAAATAAAAAAATCTCAGGACCAAAAATAAAATGAAAAAATGTCATTAACCAGTTTTCAGTAATGAGCCATTCCTGCCTGACAAAAAAAAATTATACTCGTGCTAAGTCCTTGTTTATAAGTACTACTGTTGACACAAGGTTACGTGTGTGTGTGTGTGTGTGTGTGTGTGTGTGTGTGTGTGTGTGTGTGTGTGTGTGTGTGTGTGTGTGTGTGTGTGTGTGTGTTGAGCTCTAGCCATAGATCCTGCTTCTTATTCTCGACGTCTAACGTGATTGAGTCCTACCATCTCTTTTTAACCCCATGTTACGTTCGTGTGTTTAATTACATGTATGTGATTATTTATAGTTATAGCTAATAGAACTTATGCTCGTGGTGTCACCTCTTATTATAAATTTTAAGCAGAAATTTTTAAAATTTCCTATCGTAGTGGTACACTTTTTTTCTCTGATTTATTTTCAGCCACAAACTATATTTATGTAAAAGACGTTTTTTAAGATACTTTCTACAACGCATTTTTGTTTTACATAGTTCGAAGTTATGTCGTGTTGGTGTCAGTAGTGGTGACACCAACACATCCTTCTCTTCTACTTTTCAACCATTTATAAATGTGTATGTAGGTACCTTTATTCCTCTTTTTCTATGGCTTTCAAGCGAGGTCATTATCTTCCAAGCTTCTTCACAACCCATTTTTATAATTTTTTAGAATCCATTTTGCCTCTTGCCTCTCAATTTTATATACCTTAACTCTAGTTTTTTGTCAAGTTATGGGCACCATACCTCAACTGCATATTCTAATTATGCTCAGAGATACGCTATAATAAAATTATCACTTTCTTTGAGTCATACATATAAAATTTATTTTAAAATTAGCCAGTACAGCATAAGTGTCTCACATTTACTCTGATATACAAGTCAGTGAATAACGTAATTACTTTGAACATTCCTTAAAAACAAATGCTAACACCGTTTTAATCAACTGCTATATTTATCATTGTAACTACAATCAGTGAGCACTCTTAATTTGTAAACACACTGAATTCTTAATTTAAAATCTCAAACATTTCTACCTTCGATTTAGGAATCTCATCACAATGTTTATTCGTTTTATTGTATTTCTCAAATTTAAATAACTTTTTACAAGCGTCTGAAGTAGATTTGGCTGACTTAATCTTTCCCAATATTTCTTTTTATTATATCCTTATTAGTATATATTAATTTCAATTTGATATAAATTTCTTTTGGGAATAAGAGGTTGGATAGGTTTAAACATTCCAATTTTCTTTTTCATCTTTCTCATGGACTAATAACATTTCATATTAAAACATTCTATCTTGTTTTAACCATTTCTTTTTGAGGGATAAACTGTTTAATACATTTTTTATAAATAATACAAGACTGTACAGTACAGTTTTTATTTAAATAATTTCCTTGTAGAACTTTATTCCACTTTGTAACCGCAATACATCGTTCACAACTTTAGATCACTTCTTTTCTATAATCTTGTCTATCTTGCCTATACAGCATTTTGTGTCTCCACTATTTAACTCGTACCTTTCCACATAAACAATCTGTAATAGACTATGCTCACTCTTCCAGCTAGACTGATAATAATCTATGTTGAAATATTATGAACTAGCACAGAGCAAGTCAAGACGGCTGCTCTCACTCTCACTTGTCTTCATTTCATGAGCTGATATATACAAAATTTATTAACATATTAAAAATATTGTTGAGCGGTTGTTATGTAACCAACCTCGTAGTTCATTAAAGCTATATCTTTAACGTGTCCTACTAAAGAAAGTTCTATATCAACCTTTAATAATATCCTAATATTTTTATTAATACTTTCGCTCATCTATTTCTTCTGTAATTTATGTAATATTAGTGCACTTTAGACATGAACAATATAACTCCAGCCTACATGGTTATAATTTCTGCTGACAATACATCACAAATAAATATTCCATTCTTCTTTTTATTTCACTATTACGTATTATCATTTTCATGATGAACAGATTGTAATTAGGAAGGTAACTCCAATTCCTTGGATCAAGAGCCCTTCACTTCCTCCTCCTCCCCCCCCCAACATCTTGAAGGGACACTAGTAATGACCTTAGCTAGATGCAACTGCTACTTAATTCTACCTTTTATTTTTAACATCTAGCATATCTGCATTTTATAAACAGTCAGCTCCAGGGTAAAGCTCCTTTATATGGTTCGATTTCTTTTGTAAATGCAAAGACCTTCATAGTACATGCTATTCAATTTTGAATGCACTTAGGATATATATATATATATATATATATATATATATATTATATATATTATAATATATATATATATATATATATATATATATATATATATATATATATATATATATATATATATATTATATATAAATATTATATATATATATATATATATATATATATATATATATATATATATATATATATATATATATATATATTATATTATATATATATATATATATATATATATATATATATATATTATATATATATATATATATATATATATATATATATATATATATATATAATATATAATAATCGCGGACAAGCAATACAATATACAAAACAGCCACGGGGGGAGCTGAATGATAGCTCTAGGCCTTTCGTGTTGCAATCAACACATCTCCAGGAACTTGAAATTTTGCAGAAATGAGTAGGAAGTCTGCGTAGATTCGTTCAAGGGAACGACTCTAGCTAGAGCCGTTCCTTTGAACGACTTGTCTTGTTTGCGAAGATCAGGATTTTCTCTAGTCTCTGGACATATTCATTCACGTGTTTTCCAGGTTGGTGTTGCATACTATATGAGTTTTGACATATGCCGTATACAGAATCGTGAATCAGCTTCTTCTAAGGTTCTTAATTAAGTGCAGTTGCAGTGTTTGCTAGACGAACATGCGCTGCCGAAGTTATACTGCTGATGTGCACTTCAGCCACTACACTTATCTAATATCATTGTTCCAGGCTTGCAACCTCATGTACCCCTGGTTCATGTTCAGTCTAGGATTTTCTTACTGCTCAGATTTTCATAACTTTTCACTTGGTTTGGGTTCAAATCAAATAACCATATTTTTTGGTTTGTCTCTGTAGTTTGTCCAAGTCATTCTGTTGCTTTCCCCACTTTCCAGTATATCCATGATTGAATTAAAACTTACCTTGAATTCCCTGTTTAGGTCCTCGCACATCTCTGTTGCCCTCTGCTAGTATTCTTCCCTCTATATTTAATCATATCACTTGCTCTCTTACGATGTTCCTTTTCATGTGACTGTGAAGTTGATTAAGCTCTGTTCTGGCCATTGTAGCTATATTATGAAACTGCCTTTTCTAGTTCATGTGTAATCATGTTCAGCTCTGCTTCTTGGTTCCCTGTCCTTTGTCATACTCCTTATTTTGTATTTTTCCATCTCCCTATTCTGCTGGCTTAGGCTTCTTTGTAGCTCTGGTTTAATCATATTATCTAACCTATTCATGTTTTTTTCTCCTTTGTTTTGCACAAATTTCTTTGGCCTATTGCTCCATTGTGGCTAAAACCTCCATC